CTTGTGTCCCAGGGTCCTCCCTGACTGGATTCTGGTTTCCATTCTAACCTGAGGAGATGGGGTTCTTTCACCGTAATTGCTGTTTACTCCTCAGCCACTTCCTCAGAACCTTGAAATTAAATAAACTCCCTTTCCTCTGTTTTTCTTACCTATGTGAGGAGGATGGAGTCCCCGGGTAGTGCAAACATGCTCAGCTGCTAATTGAAAGATTGGAGATTTGGCACCACCCAGAAGCACCACGGAAGAAAGGCCTGATGACCTGCTTATGAACAATCAGGCATCGAAAACCTTCTGGAGCATGTTCTGCTCTGACACAGGGGTCCCATGAGTTGGATGGCAACTGATGTGGATAATAATAGCATCAACTACATAGGGTTTTTGCATGTGGATTAAATGAAGCTAATATATGGAAACTGTTTAGGAAGAGTATCTGGCACACATGGGAAGTGTTGCAAAAGCTTTAGCTATTATTGCTATTACAGTTGTACATTTATGGGGAAAAAAAACAAAGGCTGGAGTTTTTTTCTTTTTTTCCCTTTGGCTTATCATTTTACTCCCCAGGAAACTAGCATTTTAATCCTTAGACCTGGTAGGTGGTTGGTTGAGTGCAGGTCTATAAATAAATCAATACATATGAATCTTTGCCAAAATTGTGTTTAACTTAGATATTAGGACTCTTTTTTTCCCCTTACCTTTTAATCCATGTAGTGGACGTCTTTAGGATTATGCACAACTCCCATTTGGTCATGCAAGGATTATAGGGGTTGTTTTGCCCCTTTTTCCAGCCCCTGGGAACCACTAATCTTCTTTGGTCTCTGTGCCTCTGCCTATTTTAGGTATTTAATATAAGTAAGATCGTATGGTTTTTGTTCTTCTGTGCCTGACTTCTTTTCGTTCACCATAAAGTTTTCAAGGTTCATCCATGTGGTAGCATGTATCAGAAATTCATTTTGCTTTATGGCTGAGAACATATTCCAGTGTGTATGTGTGTGTGTGTGTGTGTATATATATATATATATATATGCGCCAAAATTTGAATTAGGTCCAACCTTAATTCTTTTGCATATGGAGATCCAGTTGTCCACACACTGTTGAAGGAACTATTCTTTTCCCATTGAATGGGTCTGGCACCCTTGAATGGTTTATTTCTGGTTCTCAAATCTGTTCCATTGGTCTATATATCTGTCCTTATACCAGTACCACACTGTTTTAATTACTGTGGCTTACACTTTGAAATCCCTTAGTATGAGTTGTTCTACTTTGTTCTTCATTTTCGAGTTTGTTTTGGCTATTTGGAGCCCTTGCAATTCCATATGAATTTGAGGATCAGTTTTTCCATTTCTGCAGAATTGAGACTACTAGAATTGGGTTTCTGAAGATCATTTTGGGTAGAATTGACATCTTATTATTAAGTCTTCAAGCTATGAACACTGAATGACTTTCCATTTATTTAGGTATTTTTAATTTCTTTAGCAGTGTTTTATAGTTTTATAGTGTTTAAGCTCTTTCACCTCCTTGATAAAATTATTCCTAAATATTTTTATTCTTTTAGATGCTATTATAAAAAGATTGGTTTTCTTAATTTCCTTCTCAGATTGTTTGTTGTTGGTACATAGAAACAAAACTGCTTTCTGTGTGTTGATGTTGTACCCTGCGGCTTTGCTGTATTTGTTTATTAGCCCAACTAGCTGTATTATGGAGTTTTAGGAATTTTCTACATATAGTATGTTGGCTGTGAACAGAGAGAGTTTGCCTTCTTTTTATTTCCTTTTCTGACCTAAGGTCTAAATGCCCTGGTTAGGACTTTCTAATACAGTGTTGATAATAGTGGTGAAAGTGGGCATCCTTGTCTTGTTGTGATCTTGAGAGGGAAAGCTTTCTGTCTTTCACCATTGAGTATGATGTTTGCTGCGGGTTTTTCATAAGTATCCTCATGTTACAGAATTTCCCTTTTTCTTCATTTGCTGAGTACTTTTATCATGAAAAGGTATTTGGCAAAATGCCTTTTCTGCATCAATGGAGATGATGATGAGATTTTTTTTTCCTCCTACATTCTTTAATGTGGTGTGTTATACTGATTGATTTTCTAATGTTGAACTACCCTTGCATTCCTGGGATAATCCCGCTGGGTCATGGTGTGTAATCCTTTTAATATGCTGTTGGATATGGTTTGCTAGTGTTTTGTTGAGGATTTTTGCATCTATATTCATCACCTATAGTATTCTTTCCTTGTGATATCTTTATCTGGCATTGGCATCTGAGTAATGCTGGCCTCACAAAAAACAGAACATTTTTTCCATGTCAGTAAATGTAAATCTATGTCTTAGAATGGCTAGTTGGTCCAGCATTGTGTAAATGTGTGCAGCTCTCTGTCATTGGTAAGTTAGGCTGTTTACATTACTTTTTGCTACTGATAGGCCATACTGCAGTGCGTGCCCTTGTTTACACTTCTGGGCACTTGTCCAGTTTATTTTCCTTATGATAAATTCCTAGAATAGTTCAAAGTCAAAGTGTAGACTCATTTACTTAGTTAAATAAGACTAAGTATTATTTTCATTGACTTTGTGATGTGTGAGCCTCCCGTATTTATTGGCTATTCATATTCTCTCCTTATAGATTCATTACTTTTCCCATTCCTATTAGCATATTCTCCCAGTCCTAAGATGTGAGAGAGGGCTGAGTTCATATCCTCCCTTCTTTGGTTTGATGCTTGGAGCCAGTGGGCTTGTCCCTAGGGATCTCCAGCTGTCCTACTGTGGACAGTTGGAGGTGCTAACAGGGGATCGAGCACTCCCTGACATGCTGACCCTCCCATGTTTGGCAGTGGCAGGGTTGGGGCAAATCTTCTGCCTTCCTTGTTTTGAGCTGGTCCCTGGTTCTGATCTGGAGCAGGAAGGGAGAGCTCTTGAAAAGACCACCAGTCTTCTCAGATGTCTCTAGACCCTGGCCTGTGCTGGACATCTGAGGGAGATGGAAAAGCAGCTCCTTAAATGTGTTCTGCCTTAGTCAGGGGCCTGGCTTTCCCAGATCCCATGAATGGGATCTGTACTTCCCCAAGGAGTCTGCTGAGTCATCTTGGGCTGGAGGGAAAATTGCTGCTTTGGAGGCAGGCAATCTCAGCACCTTGTGGGACTGGATCAGGCAGAGTCCCTGAGAGACCTTACGCAGACACCCAAGGTCTCGGCTTCCCCAGTGGTAAAGAAGAGCAAGTTAATGGCTTCCTGAGTCCCTCCCAGCTGTCTTTTGATGTACTGCCCTCACCTTGCGCTACTGGGCACCCAGTCAGTCAGACACGTCCTTGCCGTGAGGCTGCTGTGGCTAGAGGCTGGGTGAAGGCAGAGGTCAGGGCCCAGCAGGTCATCCCCAAGTGGAACCATACCATGGGTTTCTGTTGTCACAGCATTGCTGGTTCTTATGTGTTCCTCTTATGAAATGAGTGCTAGTATCTAACCAACCTTCCCACATAGCTCAGCGAAAGGAAAGAGAAGCTGTCAGCTGGGAAGGGAAGAAACTGCTTCCAGATGTTTAAGAGACAGGATAATAAATACAGCATCTGGGGCTGGACAGCCCAAAGGGGTAAAGAGCCTCCTGAACCCTTAGGACGGGGCCTTCTGAGTGGCGGGGAGCTCAGTTCAGATAGCCCAGCATTTCTAGGGTTGACTGTATCCTGGTGACAGCAGTGTCACGTCTTCAGAACTCAGGGAGGGTCCTGGTGTTGGCTAGGTGGCTGAGGACCTGGTCCTGCTGTGTGCCAAGTGTCCTGGCATCTCAGGGCAGCCAGCTCCTAACTTCCTACCAAGCTCCTGGGAGGATGTGATGGCCAGAATTCTGCACTGTGTAATACAGCACATAAACGGTGGAGAGGACACGGGCAAATTTTGGGGACCTCTCTCCCATCACTCCCCAGGTGGCCTGGCATTGCTTGAAACGGCCACTGCGTCTGCCGCTTCTGCTCATTTCCATGATGGCTCTTGTGTGCCATCCCTTCCTTTCCTAATGGGGCCCACATCTCTGCTCTGGGGACTCACCCTTCCTCTCCTTCAGGGTCTTCTGGCGCCCCACTCCCACTCTCCTAGGAAGCCAGAGGTCAGGCTCTGTGTATAACTAGAGTAGGCGCTTCCCTGCACCACGCACCTTCCTGACAACTGGCTCGTGGGGTGAGGGAATACAGGTGATTTCCTTGACCAGCCACTGGGAATCTTGCTTTGGGGCTGGGTGGAGAGAAATGGCTACTGTTCTCTGGGACTTTCTGGCAAGTTTCAGGGTTTAGGAACCTGCCTGGCACTGGTAAAAATGATCTGAAACCCAACCCAACCCAAGGGCTCATCCCGTGGGTCCTAGTCCCAGGACTTACGAGGTTTGCAGTGAGGAAGCAGGAGAGGTGGGGAGGTCAGAAGGGAGAGAAAGCATCAGCTAGGTCTCATCCATGGCTTCCTTGGGAATCATACAAGAATCAGAGTCAATTGCTGCAAGTGAGTCTTACCCCTGGGAGACCATACCAACTTTGATTTTTTAAGTATTTTGCATCCTCTTATCTGACCATCCCATGGCTTAATCATCTCCGTCCTCTAGCTAGATAAGGCACTGAGAATCAGAGAAGTTGGAGCAAAACGTATTAGGTTAATTCCAATGTTAGCGATTCCTGGGCTCCCAGTGAAGGGGGAGGGGGAAAGGTAGATTGTTGACTCCAGGGCCCCTGGCTGTCAAGACTCCACCTGGTACAACCTGGCATCTGTGAATCAAGCTTAGCCTGTATAAGGCACCTTCATAACCTTTATCACATTGGAGCCTCTGCCCTCCGGAGAAGGCAGGTTAGCTGCTGGGCTGTTTGTTTTCAGAATGAAGAAAATTTTGCTTAAGGTAAGTAATTGGCTTGAGGTCTGCTGGCCAGATGGTGATAGAACCGTTCTTCAACAGGGGTGCTGAAGGCTGTGTTACCAGACCCGGCTGTCATGGGAAGGGACTACACAGCTAGCTCCCAACTTTGGCTTCTCTTGCAGGTGCGCTGGTACCCTTCTTCTGACACCACCCAGCAAGGATGGAAGTATCGTCAGTTCTGTTAGTTCTTCAGTAAGTGTCGGCCCCCAAATTCAGGACAAAAAGCATCCTGGCTTCCCACAAAGCCGTGATTCCTTCCTCTGCTTGAGTCCTGAGAGACTGCTCGTGTTAGACATGAACCCAAGCTTGTTCCTAGGACACTCTGAGTCTTTTTCCCCTCTCTTCCTACCTCCCCCTCCTGCTCCCCTGCCTTCCACCTGTGCAGGTGCCTCAGGGTCCCCGAAGAACACAGAGAAGACCTGATTCACACACACCTCTGCTCACAGCCACCTCTCTCCCCCTCCAGGTCTTGTCACTGTGGCTTGAAGCCCCTGCCCACTGGGGGGATCCCCTAGGAGTCAGTTCTGGGGATCCGTACAGTGGTACCTGGAGCTTCCACTACCCCTAGGCAGCCTGTGGAGAGCTGCTGCTTCCTCCAAAGACTGTGAATTTTAAGTCTGACTCAGTGGACTGTTTCCTATCTCTCCTCTTCCTCAGCCCTGTCCTTCCCCCAGGCCTTTCTCCAAAGCCTCATGTAAGGATTCAGGGACCGCCTTGCTGGACACCAGACCCCCTTCTCAGGCCTCACTGGGACTGAGCAAGTCCCAACCTTCTGTCCAAACTTGCTTTGGTGGTTCCACTTCAAGGAAATGAGGCATTTAATTTTGCATGTTTTCTGGCATGAATTAAGACACTTAAACTTGTATATATGTGAGTGTACAGTTTGTTCTCACATTGGTGTCACCATAGCAACAGGTCCTGGCCACTGATGGCTCACCATTCCTGGTCTGCTCCTCACACCCCTCACCCATATGTCCGCCTGCTCCAGCGAGGACCCAGCTCTGCAGCCAGTTCTGCCCCACTGGTCCCACCCCCCACACACTTGCAGGCTGAACAGCTACAACAGAAACCCAGCAAACAGATAGTGTCTTCTTTTTCAAGTCAGGGTCCTCCACTTCTTTCTCCTCACGTGGGCCAACAACTGTCAGAAAATCCTTTGTCTGTGTTCTTTACCTCACCACAGTACACCCCTCCTCACCACTGGTCCTTATTCTTTCCAAGTTTCCAAACCAACCAAAAAGTGAAAGTATTTTTATACCCTGTGTAACAAAATATTTATGCATCATAAAGGATTTTTCGTGTGTGTGTGCACGCGCACGCAATTAATTATTCAAGAGACCTTGTTCGCCCTGTCAGATGAGTTTAACGTTTAGTTTGAAGCATGAAGAAGAAAAGGGTTTCCGTTCTTCAGTAGTGAGCCTTTTATTTTCGTCAGGTGTTAACTGTAAGAGAAAGGAAATGAAGGAGAAATTGTGCAATTTTATTTTGTTCTGTGAGCATACCAGAGCTTTACCTTCAGCTGCGGCTGGGACTGTCTTGCCGTTTTCAGACTTGGGAGACTAGGTGGCTATTGTTAATTGCTGATCCTGTGAGAATGTGAAACTGGATAATATATGAAATGCAAAATAAAAAAATGATCCAAAGTGACTGTTCTCTGACCCTTGCTTCCACCTTCATGAGATGCAGAGTGCCACTCAGGACGTGACTAGCGATGAGATGTTGAGACCCAACGGGTAAGAGAAGAAGTGGGCCCAGGACAGTCTAGGCAGCATGTCCCTGGCCTGGGGAGAGGACATAAACGCTCAGCCTGTCCCTTCTTCCTACAGCTTAAGGAACAGTGTCCTGGAGGGTAAGTGACTTGCCCACGGGCCGTATAGCTGGGGACCAAACCTGTCAGCCCACCACGTTTGAGAGTGAAATGGAGCTCTGGGGGCAGGAGGTGAGACCATCTCAGTCATGCTGGGGTTCTGTGTACCCTGTATCTGATAAAGGGCTTTGCACCCAAAAGGGCCTTGTTTTCTTAGGGTCCCAATATCTAGTGCTTAACCCTTCACAGCTGTGGTCTTTTCAAGCCATCTACTAGGAAAGTAGGAGTCCTGGTGGCACAGTGGTTAAAGTGCTTGGCTGGTACCTGAAAGGTTGGCAGTCTGAACCCACCAGCTGTCCCGTGGGAGAAAGATGAGGCAGTCTGCTTCCATCAAGAAGCCTTGGAAACCTATAGGGCAGTTCTACTCTGTCCTGTAGTACCACTGAGTCAGAATCAAGTTGATGGCAATGGGTTTGGTGTTTGCTTTAGTAAGAAACGGCTGTAGTTTGGAATATCAGGGCTCTGTGCAGTCCTCATGGTGTCTTGTGAAGCCATGCAGCAGCTAGGTTGCTGCGAGAGGAAAAGATGCAGTCCAGGAATCTGGCCCAAAAAGAGTTAAGTAATCCACCGTGTAGCCTGCAATATTCTGATTCCTGAGAGCAGGTTTTGCTGGGGCCCAGGAGTGAATACCAGGTGCAGGGCACGAAAGCCAGGGAAGCCATGTGGTACCAGACCCTGAGCTGCAGGGGACTGGATGTTAGGACACCAGCTGTGATTATGGGCCTCAGTTTAACCATCTATGAAATGGTGCTTTGAAATTTTTCCCAGAATTTTCTGGAGGTTCTGCAGTACTGACCTCTCACCCAGTATTCTTCACAGGTTGGCCACGGCTGCACCTAGAGAGAGAGGGCAGAAGCCCCCAGAGATTCCTTCCTCGCTAGATTTCATTCCAGCCTTGCTATGAGCAAAACAAGTGGCCGGGGCTTGTTGTGGTCACTTGCTCACCTGCAGTGAGAGAAGATACCTGGTCAGGCACAAGCCCTGCAGTAACTGGTAGCAGGGGTGGGTTACCTGGAGCACAGAGAGGCACTGGGAAGAGGGGATTTGGTGGCACTGTTTGCACCAGGAAGAGGAGGGGTTGATGCTTTTCCCACCTTGTACCCCTCACTTCACCATATTATCTAGACCAGCTAGATACTTTGACCAAGCCAGCAAGTCCTCCTCAGCCTGCAGCCCCACCTCATGCAGTGGGGAGGCCACGCAGCCCCCACCCCAGGGCGGAGCCAATGCCTGACCTACTTCAGCTATGTCAGGAACCACTGGGTCTTCCTGAGGTGGTGAATTATTTAGCTGGGGCGCCTGGGCCTTTCTGAGAGGGGCTAAGTAAGCTGCTTCATAATTAAAGGCCACTGTGCTGCTGACTTCCCTGGGGGTGGCCTCCTTCATGCTTTGTCAAACAGGGCCCAGGCATGGGCCTGAGAGGAGGAGCCAGCAAGCAGGGGAGACCCTGAGGCCATGTCAGAGAGGGCCCTTTAGCTGCATAGGGGCTTTCCAGAAAAGCCTTAGGTGGACAGTCATTTGGGGACTGAACTTGTAAGGATATGTGCCCCAATTAGTTTAGGGGCTTCCCTAGCGAGGACAGTAAGGCTGGAACCTGAAGCTCCCCACCCTGTGCTCTCTCTTCAGGACACAATTCCTTTCCAGGCTATTTAATCCTGATCTCTGATTACAGGTAAAGGAGCTCTGGTGGTGAAGTGGATAAAGCATTTGGCTGCTAACCAAAAGGTTGGTAGTTCAAACCCACCAACCGCTCCATGGGAGAAAGATGAGGCAATCAGTCTGCTTCTGTAATGATTTATAGCCTTGGAAAGCCCTATAGGGTTGTTGTACTCTGTCCCATAGGGTCACTATGCATCATCTATGAGCCATAATTAACTCCGCAGCAATGGGTTTGTTTGTTTTTGTTTGTGATTGCAAGTGAAAGGTTTCCTTTCTGAAAATAATTTAGAAATCTTGGAATAACCTTCCAGCAGCACTGCAATCTCCCCCATGGCCAGGAAGCCATCTCTGCAAGTGTATCCTCCCCTTCCTGCTCAAATGAGGCGGCTGCTGAGCAGATGCTTGTTGAGGTGCTAGGGAGCTTATGCTGTGCCCTGGATCCTGCCAGAAGCTGGCTGTGTAATACTCTGGAGCAAATTTTATACATGTCATTCCCAGGCACTGCTGCCTGGTCAGCATTGTTAGGGACTGGACTTGTCATTTCGGGGCCTTAACAGGAGAGTAGGATCACTGGGTTGTGCAGACAGCTTTTGGACACAGGTAGGGAGGCGGCAGGAAAAGGATGGCTGCAGGCCTAGAACCCGTCTCTGCAGTTCCAGAAGCCAGGACTAGGGCTCAAGTCTGCTGGCTTCCCTTCCTGCCATACCACACCATCTGCTTTCTGCCCGGATGTCTTGGTTTAAACGTGGCCTGATCTCTTCCTGGGATACTAGGTCCTGCTCCTTGATGGAGAGACAAAGAGAAGCCTCAGTGATCTATCCGGCTTCAGCCCAGCCCTGTGCAGTTTCTCTGTTTTTTTGTTTTGTTTTGTTTTTACCTAAAGACGAGAGTTGTTGGGCCCTTAGCTTATGTAAGAAACAAGTCACTGTATCTCCATTTCTGTCTGGGGTAGAGAAAATGCAACACAATTTAGTACTTAAGGAGTCTTAAGAGATAAGTAATGAATGGCTCTATCATTCCATGAAAACCTACATTATTCCCTCTGAATGGGTATATTTTTGTCAATCTGTGTCCTTCTCTCACATTGTTATTATTAGAGTTAATGGTAACACAAGAATGTGTCTCACACGTAGTAGGTACTCAATAAATTGCTGTAGTTGTCCTGAGCTCTAGTAGTGCAGTGGTTAAAGCATTGAACTGCCAGCTAAAAGGTTGGCAGTTCAAACCCACAGCTGCTCCATAGGAGAAAGATGTGGCAGTCTGCTTCTGTAAAGATTTACACCCTTAGAAACCCTGTGTGACGGTTCTACCTTGTGTATATGGCCACTGTGAGTTGGAATTGACTCAATGGCAGTGGATTTGGTTTTTTTTTTTTTTTTTTTGTAGTTTTCTTAAAAAGAGCGTAACATTTTAATATTTCATCCTTAAAAGAAATTAAATTGGATTCTAATTTACCCACTTCTTGGTTATGTATACCAATGGACCAGTAGCCCTCAAAAGGTATTTTAATTCCATGTTCCACCTGGAGGAGAGCGGGGAGAAGGAGGGCTAAGGGCCCAAGGATTGCAAAGAATATCTACAAACCCCCAGAGCTGGCCTGTGCAATTTGGTACTTCTGGATCTAACCCTAACCTTTTTTCTCAGACCATTTAGAATTGCTTTATAGTT